GTGGTCACCTCCGGGGCAGGCGGGATTTGAACTCATGCAGAAGCGACTTTAGCTTCCCAGTGCTGTGCTTTAACCTGCTGCCCCACCAGGGAGGGCCCCAGAGTCTGAGATTTTTTAAGATTGAGCACTCCCTCGAAACAGCTTTTGGGGGAGGAAAGGAGCTATCGATAAATTAATGAAAAGTAGAAACATCAAATCCACAATATCTCTATCTTGGTCTTCGCAAGCAAACTGTTTTTAGAGTCCTGCCCATTTGATGTGGGTGGCTTCCACTTGAGAATTAGAAGAGATGCCATCCAGACTGTGAAAATGGAAGTATTTGACAACTAAATTCAAGGACAAATGGCCTCCTTAGGAAGGTAAAAATTGCCAAGAACTGGCATACGCAGTCATGAATTAAATCACATGCTTATTTATACACCATCAACCCTTAAGAATTCCTGAGTAGCCACAAGTGAATAAATGGATTTCCCCAAGAAAGGTCCCCAAGTTGCATGCTAGGATGACTGTTAACGACTTTTTATTTGGGGAAATATTTCCAGTATATAGAATGATTTCCAGTGGGAACTTCACGGGAACAAAAAAATCTCAGACCTACCTACATCTTTTTTGCTATAAGGAATGGCTAAAGAAATTATCTAATACTTTAGACATAGTATAGACACTTTATTCTTCTGTTCTAAAATTTTCTAGGACATGATTTCTTTGAGTAGCAGGAGCTGAGGAGAGGCAGCACTTCCCAGAGTGAGCAGTGGGTTCCTGCCGATCCAGGCAAGGAGCAGGTGGTCCCTGTCAGCTCTCTCTGCTGTATAATGCATGTTCAACACACTCTCGCTTAACACAACATATGCCATGGCTGGGCGCCCTTGGGGGTCAGGGTGTACCTCACTTCTCCGCTCAGCCAGAGCTGAGGTCTCATCTGAGACTCAGCCGGGGATGGGTTGGCGCCCAGAGACCATGTGACTATTCCCAGCATCCCGTTTCTGATAGACTATGGCATAGGGTCCGCCCTTCATGTCCCTCCCACGTGCAGGATGCCCCTCCTCCACTCACAAGATCCTCCAAAGTTTTATTCCATTGAGCCACCGAACCTTGTCATGTGCATGCACACACATGGCAGATCACTCACTCTGTCAGCCTGCAAAGTGAGGGACACGTCATCCGTCACAGGTGCCCCGCCGGCACAGCCGTGGGCAGGCCAAGCCTTTACATGTTTCTTTGCAAAAGCGGGGATAAAATGACGAAGGAGTCCCTGCTCCCGAGAAGTCTGAAACCCAGCCAGGCGAGCCCGGGAGATGGCTGAATTGGGGTTCAGGAACCAGGCAGGAAGCTCCTGAATTTGGGCTCTCTGTCCTGCTTCCTCCATACCCCTCCTTTCTCGCCAGAGGTAGTGTGAGCTAGCATGGGCCATTAGCCAGCTTGTGCCCTGGCTTTGGATCTGGCTGTGTTCTCTGTATCTTTCAGGTCCAGCTGGGAGTAATTTTGCTGAAATAAGCTTTTTGGCTCTGCTGTGAATTTCTCTGGGCCTTGCTCCACTGAGCTCGTGTGCACCCACAGCTCTGTTTGAGACAGTCTTTCTCTGCCCAGGCATCCTGCCGAGGGACAGCCCCCTCCCCTGGAGCCCTGCAGGGGACTCCCTTCTTTTGACCTCTCCCAGGGACCTTCCTACAATGGATCATTTATCTTTCTGAGGTTTTAGCAAAAGGTTATACAGCTACACCCTCAGCTTTTAACTCTTGCAGCCTTTCCTAAGTTTTCATGAAGTCTAGATTTGAGCTTTCTTTACCATGCCCCTCAGAATCCTTGCTTCTTGTCAGAGGAAGGGGGTCCCCTGTGGGCTCCAGGGTAGGGGACTGTCCCTCGGCAGGAGGCTCGTAGAGAAAGACTGCCTCAAAAAGAGCTGTGGATGCGGATGGGGAGTAAGGCCCAAAACCCACCCCCGGCCCCAAAGCCATGATCCCATCTTCTGGTGTCTTAAGCAGCAGTGACATTAGCTACTGAAGCCTGTTCCCATGGGCATCGCCTCAGTGATAGCGTCACCACAACCAGATGCTTCGCACACTGCATGTTACTGGCTCCAGTTGCTGTGGGTTCAGCACCTGCAAGTTGGGTCCCCGGGTTCAGGCTCTCGGAGCTCCACCATCAGCAGACACGCTGTCGTCTCGTCTGGAGCTTGTTTGGACAAGGGGCTGCTTCCCAGCCCATGACTGTTGGAAGCGTTCAGTCCCTGATCCGTTAGCCAGAAGCTGCCCCAAATCCTAAGCACCTGGGAACCTTCCCACCTGACAACTTGCTCCCTCAATGTGAGCAAGTTTCCCTGGAACAAGGGCACTTAGTCCCACTTCACACCATGGGAGCCAGTCTGGCACCTTCACCATGCGCCACTGCTTAGAGCAGCTCAGGGGTCCCAGAATCCCAGTGGGAGGTCACACAAGGTGTGTCCTCCTGGGGGTGGGGCCCAGAGAGCACAGTGTAGCCCATCACCGTTGGTAATCGTGCGTTGGCGTGAGTCCCAGGCTGCAGTGGGGCTGGGTCACGTGATGCCCTGTGTCTTCATGGCGTGTGTATTTCATCGTGGTACTCACAGTGGTCACGCTTTGCGAGTAACTGCTCTCTCTGGTGGGTTCCGCTGCTTTCCCTTGGGGGTGGACTGAGTCGGCGCTGCTGTCTGCTCAGTTTACGTGCCATCTGCACGTGGCCCTTTCCGGTGGCCCTGCGAAGGGCCAGTCTCTCAGGGCGAGCCAGGCAGAGGCCCCTGACAAGAATCTGGCTAGCGCAGGCTGGCAGACCGGTGGTCAGAGGCCAGCGTGGCCAAACCGGAGCAGCGCAGCTCACGGCGTCAGCTCGGGCCCAGAACCTTGTCTCCAGGGGGTTAGGGAGGGTCATTCTTTCACAGCGACTAGGTTCATGGAAAAATGGATAGCTTTTGGGGAACAGTGCTGGGTTATTCATTTACTTTTAAGTGCGAAAGGAGCGTGAGCAGTCCTGGGCAAAATTAAAATCTTAATTTTTAAAGCCTCATAAAATGCATCTGTGCCTTTCGATGCTTTAAGATACTAGAACTCCGTAGCAGCCAGTAAAACGTCAAAAATGTTGAACGGCTCTTCGGTAAAAGCCAGCTGCGCGTAGCAAGTGAGAGCCCAGCATCTGGCTTGCTGCGTGCATGTCTTACCCACAAAGTAGCAGAAGTTCCTGCACAAGAAGCCTGGCCACGGTAGCCAGCTTTGCACCCCCGTTGTCATTTGTGACCAACAAAGTGAGCAGGGCACCCAGCTGTAGCCAGCGGTGTTCTCCCCAGAGCGGGTGAGTCCAGGTGGGGACAGGAGGGCGGCGAGCCGTGGGCAGCGGATGGGCTCTTCCTCGGCAGTCAGGGGCTCTGCGGCCTCGCCGGAGAGGTCATCCTGTGTCCCCCGGCCCCCTGCCCACCCGCTGTCCGCTTGGCTGCCGGTGAGAGCTGGGCGTGGGCGGAGGAGGCCGGAGCCCAGAGCCCAGAGCCGCTGTTTTCATGGTGCTACCTGCTATCGAGGGAGCGCTCTGGACAGCAGTGTGTGACTACAGGCGGGTTCAGCCCTTCGGACCTGTCACCCCCACACCCAGCCAAGCCGCCCCTCCCGAATGTCGGTGAACTGGCTCAGAGCCAGGAGGTGGCTTCTGCTGCTTCTCCCATGGCTGTGGGCAGAGCTCCCGTTTCTCGTCTTCTGGCAGGTGTGCGTAGTCGGCGCTGTGGGGTTCAGTAGTCACGTGGACGGCAAGTGCGGCTCTCCGACTCGGCCTCCCCTTCGAATGCGCCCCAGGGCGGTCGCCTGGCGTGACTGCGGTCACTTCCTCTCCCCTCCCTTTGCTTCCTCCCCCTCGCTGTCCAGCGGTGAGGAGGCCGTGGGTCCTTGAAGGCGGAAGAGAGCCGCTGTCTGGCTGACCGCGGGCGGGGCGCAGTGTTCGGGGTCTGAGAGCTGGGGCAGCTCGGCCAGCTTCTGGGGACTGGTGTCCTCTGAGGTTGCGTCTTTCTGACATCCCTGAGCGCCCATGCCTCAGACCGACACAGTGAGAGCAGGAGACAAGTTTCAGGGATGGCAGTTCTGGCGCAGGGTGGACAAGGGCCGGCGATGAATGCACACAGGCACTTCTAGGCGTGCGTATCTGAATGTGTTTAATTGTTAAGAGTGCGGAGCATTTATACAATTTTTCTTGGCAAGCAAATATAAGGGATACAAGGATTCTTTTAATAGAAACGTGACAGGTAGTACATTTTCTTATTGTTTCTGAGATGTGGTCAGGGGCCCAAAACCAACTTGGGGCCCTAGGAAACCACCCCATCTTCAAGGTTCAGTGGTGCCAAACAAATGCCCTATCTACCACCTGTGCCTTGCTAATCCTTTTAATTGCTCTCTCCATTCTTTTCACAAGCCACTTGGTGTACAGGAGTTAATAGTTTAATAGAATTAAAGATTGTAGAGGAGTTTCTCAGAGTTCAATCAGTATCGAGAACAGAGGAAGCTACATTCCTCTCAAGAGTATCGTTAGAACGCAGCACAATATCCATAACATTTCTTTGGTTCAGTGCGTTATGGGTCAACAGAATCAGAAAAAAAATCAAAAAGTACAGGGACCGTTCGAGAATCAGCCATCCTTCTATTCCTGGAGGGCGACGTCTTCCTCCCGTGACCGTGCCAAGCTCGAAGGATTTCTCACGTAGGCGTCGCGGGAGGGGACGTGGCCGCCCACAGACCCCCGTGCCGGTGCTCCTGCGGTGTGGGGCCGGTGTGGCATGCGAAGCCGGCCCGTCCGGCCCGGCGTCAGGAGGACGCAGGCCCCTGAGTCAAAGACGAGGCGTGAACTGCGGACCCTGCTGCGCTCACTTTGTTTTCGTAGCTCTTTAACTTTCGGTGTTCATGTTTACGAGGTAAACACGCGCCCGAGTGCGCCCGCCTGCGCTTCGTTTCCGGGCGCCTACCTGTTCTGCTTGCTTCTCTTTTAACTGGCCGCGCCCAGCGTGCCCACGCCGCCCACGGTGTGGACGGGACAGCGCCGGCCTTGTCGCTGACCTCTGCTTACCCTCTCCGCTCCCCCTTACAGATACTGCAACGAGCATCTGCTGTGCCCCCCACATGTGTTCTGGACTGGTTGGGGTCCCTGGGAACGCTGCACGGCCCAGTGCGGAGGCGGCATTCAAGCTCGCCGCAGGACCTGCGAGAACGGGCCCGACTGTG